GATGAGAAGATTTGGCTATCATAAATTTCCGTTAAGTGATAACAAATGAAAATCCCTTCTGAAATGTGGAGAACATGTCATTTTACAAATAAGCTTATAAATAGTTGGAAGGGAGGAAAATGTTTTCTTTTACCCATCTAGGTTCTTTTACTGATCTAATAATGAAATTGACATGAGGCAGATTGACAGGAGAAAAACAAGTTTAATTTCATAGGTACAGGAGCCCCATAAAAATATGAGACCCAAAGGCAGTCAGGCAATTGAGGCTTATATGCCATCCTGAGCTAAAGAATGAGATAAGGACCTGGGACTTTAAAGGAGAGGAGGGTAGTCATTCATAAAATAAGAAGAGGAAATATTTGGTGATCAGATGTTTGTCTTGCCATACCAATAGATCAGTCCAATAAAAAGTTACCTGTGGTAATAGCTCTCTTCCTGGGCCAGGGGGCCTGTCTACATCTCATTAGGTAGTTAAGAGAAACGTAAAAGTTTTTCTTGAATCTGCTGGCTCTTGATTGCCTTTGGCTCAAAATAATCCACATGCCAAAGAGGCACATTTTGGATGGATAAATGCTGCTCCCCCCATAGCCTTTTTAGACACAAGATTTTCATTTTCTTTTATCTTTGTGTTTTTGTAATTCAGGTCACGTTTTCATTGTGGGTTGTTTTTTTTTCTGTTTCTTGAAAATCAAGAAAANACTTTCCCAACGACCCAATAGATCTTCAGGGAGAGGAATCAACTTTTTACTCATTTCTGTAATGATTTGGATCAAAGTTAGGTTTTTATTTTTTTTATTTTTGTAGTTTAATACAGGACACAAAGCAAGGCAAATGAATATAACCTGAAATAAATTTAGGCCTTCAACTATGTAAACCAGGGTTTGAAGGGCTGGCTGCTTTCAAACTTAATTTTAATTCTAAGGGGGAAAAAAAATGAGCCAGTAGGCTGTTATTCAGTCATTTGATAAGGGTTTCCTCTCCCAGGTCCCATTTGGTATATATCCTAGAAGGCTGATGAGAATGAGGACTCATTTTCAGCAATAACAAATACGAGGACAGTCAGGCAGGACCATCACTTCCCCATGCACCCTTCTAGTGAAGATGTGATGAAGCTGAAGCCTCAAAGAAGTGATTTTGTCAGGTGGTGGTATAAAAAACTGGATTTCATGGATATGTAATCAGTCCATCATTCCAGCTCCATGCCACCCTTTTGTGGCTTCTTTTCCTCACTAAGGACTCTCTTTCATATTCAGTTAAACCAAATTGTACTTGAGCGAAGATGTCCTGCTGGGCAGCTAACCAGCCTGGTTTAACCTGGACGGTCTTGGCTTTATAACTTGAAAGTCCCATGCCCTACCATCAGACCCAGGTAACACTAGGGTGGTTGGTCAGCCCACCTAGTGATATCCCTGTCTGCTTAGCAACGATAGACTGAAGCATGAAAGCAGGACGTCCTTTGACTCAGGGGACATAAGGGGTGGCATCCTGATCATGAAAACCAAGGTTGTCAGCCACCTGGGACCTTCGAGTGACCGGCATCAGAATTTTGATTGATGAGCATAAAGTGTAAGAAGACTAAAAGTCTATGTTAATTATGATTGATTAAAAGGAACAAGTGGAACAGTGCTGAGGATTAAGGTAAAATCTGCTTTCCTAGAATATTCCAAATGCAGTAGAAAGCGTGCANAAAAAAAAAAAAAAAACTTCTCTGGTAGGCTTTCTTCTGGATGAAATTCCCACCATTGTCATTCTAATATAAAATACTCTGTAAAATTGTAAGGTGCATAGTTTCATTTGACTGTCAAAAGCATTCTTCTATTGCTTTCCAATTATTTCTTTCACCCATTTCCCAGGAGATCTGTCCCCTCTTCAAATACTGACTGCCCAAACTCTGTCCACAACTTCTACTTCTTTGTTGTCTTCAGTGTTACCATCTTTCTCTGCTCCTACATTAAATCAGTGTAGTTGATCTCCGTGGAGGAAGCAATTTGATAAAATGATTTCATATTGAGAAACAATGTACGTAGTGGTAGAAACAATCCCTCGAGAGGAAACTAGTACTCTATGAGAAGAGGGGTGAGGGTGACCTAAATTGAAGTCAGCGCAATGTGGGACATTAGTGGGACACTTAAGCTTGCGTGAAATACCTTGTTAGGGAGTGGAAGCAGCTTGTGCCTGACATGGGCCACGTCTTTGAAAAGGGGGACCATTGGAGACAGTATCAATTTTTTCCCAGCAGATTCTGTTTGCTTGTATCTGCCTTTTCTAAAAGCAAAGTAACTAATGCAAGCTACTTAAAGCAGTGAGATTTCTTTACTCAGAGCCATATATTCAAAATGTAATTGTTACAAGGAGTACACAAGCTCATATTGCCACTGAACTGCAAGAGTAATTGTACTGGAGAAAAGTTAATCTTTATTTAACTTGCCTAAATTATCCTCTCACAGCACTGAAAACTGTCATAATCTCCTTGTTTCAGATTAAGTGGATTATTTATTTGTGATAATGGGCACAGATGCTCATTAACATGCTGTCATAAGCAGCTGTGTTAAATGTATTATGCATTCTGTGACATAAATACGGGTGTTCAACATGGGGCTGTTTAAAATATAGGTCCCAGGAAGAACAAAAAATAATAAATGCTTTCTAATATAGTTGCCTGATCTTGAATTCTAAATTCATTTTTACCTTATTCAGGCTGCTTGTGTGGAAATTGCAGGTATTACACCAGTGAAATATCTTGACATATAAGGACATTAGAACTTTCTGCCTTCCCATCCTTGGTGTCAAGCTGGGTGTTCACCAGTTTGTTTCTTTTCTTGTAAAAGAGAGGATTATATAGATATAGGAGAGTCATTTATAGCAAAATCAGTCTGCATCTCAGTAACCACAGAGCTGGGTTCATTTGATGGACGCCTTCCACCCAACCTACTTCTGAAAAGTCTCCAAACTGGATGTTGAATTTATAGTTCAGTACCCCTCATTTCACACTTGAAGAAACCAAGGTTCTGAGGACTTAAAAGATGTGTTTGAATCCCAGGTATTTAAGTAATCAAGCCAGGACCAAGGACTAGATACGTGGACTCCCAGGTTTCTACTTTCCACTAGGACAGTGGGCAGTAATAATTAGCAGACTGTATCTTTTGGGATATTTACCAATATCACTTTTATGGTAGGCTAAAATGCTCACTGTCATTTTACAATTTATGTTCATTTAAGCAAAGTCCCAGCGGCTTTCTTTGAGGGAATGGCCTCATTGGAGAAAATGAGGGCATGATAATGAGGGATTCAGTTCACTGGGCACAGTTCAACCGAAGGAGGAAAGTAATGGCCCTCAGATGTAAGGTTTAGAAAAATGGGTGTGCAGGAGCATGGCTGATAGCACCATGGAGAAACAGTGAGAAGCTGTTGAGATTCATCTTCACCAGACAGTGAAGTACACAACGCTAGGAAATACTTGTGTCCATTGGAGCTAGCAGGCGTCAGTCATTTATGAGAGTATTGATTATAAGCAATTTAGGTTCCTGCCTTTGAAATGGTAGAAAAATGGAAACTTTACACTGTGCACAACCAAGTTTCCCCCTTATAGAAAAATTAAGGAATCTAGCGAAGTTGGGGTTGTTATCCTAAAGAAAAAAAAAATGAAGGCTAAACCATGATTTAGGGGTATTGTTGAAGAAATTAGATAGTGTTTCAAAAGAATAAAGAGCTCTTACAAGGAAATGTCCACCTCCTCTGCATTTTCACACAAGGTGATTCAGAAGAAAATGGGATTAATCAGCAGTTCTCAACCTTTCGCAGGGGTTGCCTAAGACCATCGGAAAACATGTATTTTCGATGGTCTTAGGAACTGAGACACCGCTCCTCTATCCGTCTCCAGGCCCACATGCAGATACACCCACATACGAGTACCCGGCAACCCCTGTGAAAGGGTTTGATCCCCTTTGGGCCCCCTTTGGGGGGGTCGAACGACCCACAGGTTGAAACCGCTGGATTAAAGGAAAGCAAGAAAATTCAGCTAGAGTCTAAGAATGATTAAATATTGAAAACAAAATACTGAGGGACATTGTAGAATCCCTTATCCCCAGAGATGGTTCCAAATGAAATTGGAAGTAATTTAACTTAAATGATTTTGGTATACACCTGTCTGAGCAAAGGGGGAGCCCAATTAGCTCCTGAGACCTCATCAAAGCATTTGATTCAACAACCAAGCATTCTGCCAAATGACATACTGTCAGCCCTGAAAAGAGTATTATTCTTTAATAATACTTGTTCCATTCCCTCAGGATTCTTAAATAACTTTCTTTTCTTCCTGTTGATTTCTTATGTTCATTTCTGTTTATGGGGTAAAAATACAACTCAGATTTCCTGGCTCATGAGCAACATTTGGATGGAAACCAAGACACATCAGGGGTTTGTGATTTTAAGTAGTAGCTTTATCAACTTGCTTCTGCACATGGGATTCCTTACCTATTTTAAAACCTACCTGAGTTTTGTTCCAAATAACTTTTCCCACTCTGTTCAGAGTTGATTTTTCTGTAGTTGTTAATAAAATACCATTTCTGAGTAGATTTTTTTTAATTTAATGGGTATTATAATCAAAATGCAGAGATAGGAATAGCACTCCAAATCTTAACTATTCCACTACTAACCATTGCTACGTTAAAATATCTAATTGTATTTGGAAAATATTAGTTTATTCTGTCAAAATTTCCAAATGCAAACTGATATATGATGATGGCCTTGCCTACATTTGTATGACATCTTAATTTTTAGTATTATTACTCTTTGGGTCAATTGTTTCATTACTTGTTTACTTCAATTGGGCACTTTTTTGCTTCTTTAACACAGTATCCTTGATTTTAAGTTTCATTTATTACATGGACATTTTTCAAAGCACCCAGCTGTTTTGCAAAAGCTTTGTAAAGAAAAGGCAGGAGATTTAAGCCTGAGATCTATCTGAATAAGTGAACATATTCCCCTGTACTTTCTTATTCCAGGTTTCCAGATTAAGGCTTTCACATCACTGCACTTCCTGTCTGAACCATCTGATGCCATCACGATGCGGGGGGGCAATGTCCTCCTGAACTGCTCTGCAGAGTCGGACCGCGGCGTCCCGGTTATCACATGGAAGAAAGATGGCATCCACCTATCCTTGGGAATGGACGAAAGGAAGCAGCAGCTTCCAAATGGGTCTCTGCTGATACAAAACATACTTCACTCCAGGCACCATAAGCCAGACGAGGGACTGTACCAATGTGAGGCATCTTTAGGAGATTCTGGGTCTATTATTAG